AAGAGTGGGTTTTCCCGGAGGAAAGTGGCCAGGCAAAGGAAAGTGTGGATGAGCTGTGATTTCAGTAAAGCCTCAAATCCTTTTGTGTGCAGAGGCCCTGTTAAAAGTTTAATTATAGCCCCTCTGTTACAATGCAGATGCTTCTTTTCATGAGTAGTAGCTGAACAAGCGAAAACGTTAGAGGGGATAGAGACTGAAGGGTGAAATCTGCTGCTTCCTAAAAGCAGCGGCAGGCTCCTTCACCCCCCCCTTTCCTAATTGCATCGTTTAAATTGCATTCAAAGCCATCCTACACAGTAATTTTCAGAAGTGCTGCCTGTGGAAGGAAGGCAGGATAAAAGGCTGGGGTGACTCAGAAAAAACGAGAGGCAACTTCCATTCCTTCAAGCATAATTCTCCTACTTTCCCCCTCCATTTAATGTGCCAGCTCAGTGGCATGGTGAGTTATATTACACTGACACTGAGAAAGAAGCCCATCCACCCGGAAAACAGTAAAGCAAGTTCCTTGCTGGGAGTAGACACTGGGGCTGCAATTACTGAGGACACTTACTAGGAAGGAAGCCCTACTGAACACACTCAGGTTTTCTTTGGAGCAGGGATGGAAAACCCCTAGCCTGGGTACTTCATCTGCTACCCCCCATAACATGCTGCTTTGGATGGCAACAAAAAGTAGAGAGAATAGAAACCCTGCACTGGGTCAGACAGAATATTTTAAGTCTCTCCACTCAGGTCAGCACCCAGATGAATCATTTGCTCATCTGCTGCACAAAGAACCTGAAGAAAGGGGGCGCTGTGCATCTGTGTGTGTCCTGTGCTTGCATGTGCCATAATAATAATAATAATAATAATAATAATAATAATAATAATAATAATGTTATCTTTCCACTCTTGGCAGCTTCCAGCAAATTAAAACATCAAACACAGTAAAACATATTTAAAAAAACTCCCCTAAACAGGACTGCCTTCAGATATCTTCTAAAAATCAAATAGTTGTTTATTTCCTTGATATCTGATGAGAGGGAGTTCCACAGGGCGGGCGCGGTGCCACTACCAAGAAGGCCCTCTGCCTCATTCCCTGTAACCTCACTTCTTGCAGTGAGGGAACTGCCAGATGACCCTCTGAGAGCTGGATCTCAGTGTCCAGGCTGGACAATGGGGGTGGAGACGCTCCTGCATGACAGTGTGGGGTAGCCACACCCATCATTGGTCTGTGCCCTCTGGAGGCTTAGCCAAGACTGAAAGTGGCCTCAGGCCCAAATGTTTAACCACCTCTGCTTTAGGGTAAGCATGCATTAGATTGTGCAATTGGTTCTTACACAGAGGGGAAGCAAGCCTGGGAAAAAAGGCAACAGAGTACCTTTGGGTGTCACTTATTGGGTGCCACTTCTCTTCTTCACTTATTGGGTGTAGGCCCTCTTTGCAGATAATTGTACCCCCCTCGAGACATAATGAATGTCCAGGGTTTCACACCCATCACTCATCACAGCTGGAAACCCCTTTAGTCATTAGTCTTAAGAAGGTGTGGAGAAAAAGCGAGGTCTGTGTCCACTGACGCCACCACCCACCATGGTCTTCGCTGCCGGAACCAGACTATACGGCTCACGCACAGAAGGCATGCCTGCCAAGGAGAAGCCTGCCAAATGCACACCAGCTCTTCCAGTCTCCTGAAACCTGTGTTCTGCCACATGGGGAGTGCCTTTGCCTGTTCAGCAGGGAGAAGAGCAGGGAAGAAGAGCCATTAGAGAAGGTGATGGTAAAGGGAATGAGGGCAGTAGCCCCATTATCTCTCTCTCTCTGCATGGGCTTAATTGCACGGAGGCTAACGGAAGCTACAGCTCCTGCATTTTTAGGTTTGTATGTGGCAGCATAAGATTCATCCACTGGATTACAGGTGATTGCTTACAATGTTCAGAAAGTCCCTGTGATCTTCTGTAGAGACTTTTCCTTTGGAACAAGGAGCTGCAACAGAGAGCAGAAAGGAGAAAGATCCATTGTGCCAGGTGCCTTCTCCTTGTGTGACACTGGCCTATTCAGTGCAACCTCTTGTTGTAACTTGGAAGTTAAGGGCAATGAAGTTGCAGAATGTTAATGATGAATCAGTTATCAGTTGTAGACATCTTGCTTGTGGATAAGATCTGAAATTTTGATTTCAAGTCAAAACCGCATCTCTTGCATGCTTGCCAATTCATTACCTTGTTTCTTGGGGCAAGGTGATTTCTTCCTGTTGATACCTTAGCACATTCTTGCTTGTTTTAAAGTCAAACTTTGAGCCTGAACTTCATTATTTAGTATCTAACTTTGGCAAGCCACCCTTTTTAAATAGTGATCGCAAGAAACGTGGCTGGAGCTAGCTCTCATGCTGGCAAATGCAGAGGATTCCAGAGTTATTTTGGGAATAGTTGCTACTGCACACTGAAACTGGTACGATGCAGACCTTGTCTCAATAACAAGTCTTGACACCATAGAACCTTATATGAGAGAAGCTCAGCATCTTCACCACCTGAAGATCATTGGCCATGCAGACTGGGACTGATGGGGTTTTTGTCCAGCAACATCCGGTTGAGCACCAGGCTGTGGGAGGCTGTGCAAAGATGATGGAGGTTTGTTAAAACTCAGCTACATGACTTGGCTTTCAAGCCATTCATTGGAAAAACCATCCTTTGCATGCATCATGGTGCAGCAGTCTCATATATGGTTGTAGTCAACTAAGTCCTACTAAGAGTAGACACATTGGAATGAATTAATCAAAGTTAGCCATGTCCATTAACCCCAATGGGTCTACTCTGAGTAGGACTAGGGATGAATACCACCCATGGTTTTCTGTATGTTAGAACGGAACCTTTGCAATCAAAATACGGATTTCAAAACAACAACGGCCAAGCTTTCTTGTCACAAAATCTGAAATTTCTGTCTAAATGTACAACATGGATAGTTGAAACATAGGCATTTAAACATTTCACACTCAATTTGCAGAGTGCTCTTTGCTCATGCTATTTTGCATTTTCGTTTTAGAAATTGTTCAGCCCCATCAGGAAAACAGCACAAGCAAAAATGATACAGTTTCACCTCGTAAGTCATGGGAGCAACAATGGGAAGAAGGAAAGATTGTGGTCAGTTCAGAGTGGACCTGGCATGCAGAATGATTGCAATGGCTAACAAATGGAAAAGGGGTCTGTTATTGTGTTACTGGACACTCTGTGGGCTTAGCAGGAGGTCTTCACCTATGTCACAGTGACTAAATTTTCAGCCTGTTATCCCCTAATCTCTCATTTTGGTTTATCTCAGGGATGGGGAACACCACCCCCCACCTAGACTTCTCTGTTATATTTGTCTAGCCTCCCTGTTGTCATGACACTGGAGTCAGAGTTCTTCAGGAAATGAGCTTGAAGACTCTGAATCAGAAGGGCAACGGCATGCAGGGCTTCTACCCAAAGAACAATTTCTTGGAGAGAGTTTGGCAGATGCGTGAATTGGCTGCAGTTCTTCCAAACGTACATAAATTTAACACACAGCCCTCCAGATGCATTTCAGTATCACCTGTTAAGCACTAACCTGCCTGCTTTTTTGTTGTCATGGGACATTAATGTTTGTTTCCCGCCCCCCCTGTGAAGATGCTGGAAGGAACTTCAAATGCTGCTTTCAGGTTTTATCAGCTCTGAAGCTTTGTAATACATGGGCACCACCTGCTGGTCAAACAGTATGTTCCTTTGATTCAGGCTGTTCATTTCCTTTTATTTCCTGCCTTGCAAAAAGTTTGTTCATGTTCAAATGCTGAGTGAGTCTGACTCAGCACAATGCATGCAAAGTATATGATATGAAGCATATCAAGTAGTAGGGGATGGCCTGGTGAGGTGGCACCTTATCTCCAGTTGGTTGCATTGCTGCTGTGTACAGGGAGATAGAAAGAGGTGGTGGCGAAGTTGGTGCAGTGCAAACCAGCTGGCAGGAGCCCTGAATGGGCTCTGCCAGTACATTTGCACCACATCAGACTCACTACCATCTCGTTCCTCCCCCTCTTCCTCCTTGTAAACAGTGGCGAACCAACTGACCAGAGGTCACCTAAGTGGTGAAGCTCCATCTGCTACTGATATAAAGACTGCCATGTTGCTCCTTGGTTCTGGCTGCCAGGAACCTGTGGGTTTTGTTGAAAGTGTGGTGAGGCAGAACTGGGCTGCAAGCCCATCTTTATTTTCTTAAACCACGGGGGCAGCAGCCAGTGTTTTTTTCCTTTTATTCCCAGTGGTATTACCTGATGTGTCATCACCTCAGAGGGACTTAGCTTGCAGTCTCCATCTTGAAACCCATTCTGTCAGCAAGACCTTATGGCTAGAACAACCAGCCTTATTTTATTACTCCCATTTTGTCACATGACTCTCTTCTTTGTGTAACATCTTGCCTAATGAAGAGTTCTGGAGAATTTTTGTATTTGGGGAGTGGGTGGGTTTGTCCTAATAAAGGTATTGTCCAACTCCAGGCTTCTCTTCGCAAATTCAACTGACATCAGCTGGGATGGGTTCGGGGCACCAGTTAAAAGCATATTTATTTGCCCAGGCTGTTGGTTAAGCTGGATGTGGAATTGGGCAGCTTGTTGTCTTGTTCAATGACTGTAGATGATGATCTTCTCTTTATTGGTTTTATGTAACTGGTTTTATTGTTTATTATCTGCTTAATTTTTTATATTGTAGCCTGTTCTGGGATTAATGAAGAGCAGGCTATGAATTATTCAAGTGAAGAAACAACAGTTTCTTTTATGGCAGTAAATAAATGAAAAACATCTCACCAGATGGTGTGGGCAGCTCATTCCAATTCTGTTGTGATTACAGACAAATGCTATGAAATATAGCCATCTAATTCATACAGTACCTCCTGCATGCAGTTCCTTATACAAAGAGGACTCGGCAGAAAATGTGTGTGCAAACTCTTCGTCATATAGTTCAGTAGAAGAGTGTTGCTTATTTCACTTGCCAAAAACTACCCATCAAGAATAAATACAATGATCATACTAGATTGCTGCAATGCTGTTGTTTTATTGACAATAAAATCTGGAAAATAGGAATACCAAGCAGTTATTAACTCTGTGCATCTTCATCAGAGAAAGCCAGAAAGCCCACTCCTAAATTCTTCAGCAAAAAAAACTGATGCATGTTCAACACTCTCAGCATATTCCAGCCTTCTTAATTTTGACTTGTACATTCTTTTGCCTGCAAAAAAGGTATAAAGCATACTGAATAGTATCTTTCATTTCCCAGGTCAAAGTTGAGATGTTGCCAAATCATGCCTTGTGAGAATTGGAGCATATGTATTTCAGATAGGCATTGCTAGGGCCAGAGGCTAATGCATTTGTGCGATAATACGTTTTGACACCTGTTAGAGTTCAAGGCATGGACAACTTAAAAGAGATAGAATTTTACAATTTGGGCAGGATCTCACTTGCCAAGTCCTCATGAAAATTCACCAGCGTTTGATTGCAAGTTATGCATACGTCCCCCTCCCCACACACTTTGGAGCTAGAGAACTGCGTTTCAAAATTCAGAGTACTGTGGCTTTCACAGGAGAACTGTTTTTCTGCCTATGGGTTTTGAGAAATTCAAATAAGGTAGATTCACCTAAAATGTCAACAAAACCAACTTTCTCCCCCATCCTTATCCTTATTACTCACACATACAAATTCCTGTTGAAGTATTAATACTGAAAGTGACATATGCACAGGCATACATGGAGCTACTGCCTGCACAGTCTCTGAAACAGTGAAAAGGCTCTTAAGGGAGACTTTCGCTTTCTTGAGTCAAATAAAGCCTGCCAACTGACCAGAAAAAATGACCTTGTTCCTTCAAGAGCAGCTATATGTTCAGAATTCACTAGATGAAATGCTTCACATTCTTGAGAAAGAGGGAGGGGGAGACATTGATTTGGATCCTAAGGTGCCTTTCCATTCATGGAATGAGTCCTTCTGCGGATAGAAGGCATTTGGCTTTCGTTCCTGCTAATTCAGGGATGGAGAATACATGGCCCTCCAAATGTTAGTGGACTCCATCTCCCATCAACCTCATTCACCATGGCCAATAGCAAGGGATGATGGGAAGTGTCATCCAATAACATCTGGAGAGCCACTCAATCCCTGTTCTAATAGAAAGAGGGAGACTGTTTTTGTTGATTCCTGCACCTTTGCAGTTCCTGAGTCATCTTCCATACTGCTTTGGAACTTCTCACAACCACCCATGCAGATGTGCAGCAGGAGAAGGGAGTGCAAATTTTCAGAAAGTGAGTGTGGAACGTGAAAATTTGGTTTGTAGGTGTCAGCAATACCCTTTCTACTGGGCGGAACCCCAGCCTATTGTCACATGCTAATGTTGTTTCCTTCTCACAGAGAGCTGCCCTTAACAAAGCACAGTTCCCAGGATTCTTTGAAGAGCAAATCCTCTACTATAAATATGTGTTGGATATGCATTAAATGTATGGTGTGGATCTGCCTCTGATGTTGGAACAAGCTCCCTCCAATCTCCTATTTCTGTTCCTCACGATGCTTCTTCAGAACTACTGTTTCCATCTTGCTGTTGGGACTAAAAATACTAGGAGAACCTAGCCCAGAGATGGAAGGAAGGAGAAGTACCAACAAGAGAAGAATGGCAGACAAAACTGATGGAGTGTGCAGAGATGGTGAAACTGACGGGGAAGATCAGAAACCAGGAAGATCAATTATTTTTAAAAGACTGGAGTAAATTCTTAATTTAGTTAAAAGACAGTTAAACAGTTAAAATCATTGGCAGGGATGTAATGACACTTGTAATGTGGAATTAAATATGTTAACTATAGATATCTAACAGATGGATAAAGGAAAAGGATGCAGAAAACTTAAATCTTAAATATGGAACCCATAGAGGGAGGGAAGGAGGTCCAAAGGTTCAAAAGAACCTTTTATTTTAATGTTTGAAATGGTTAAAGTTAAAATGTATAAAATCATGTAAAACCAATACAAAATGTTATATTAAAAATACTACAAGAACCTAAGTGAATTAGGATGCATCTGCCATCAGGCTACATTGGCCAGATAGCCCACCTTTCAGCAGGACCCATTTAAAGAGGATAATCCAGCACTACGCCATATACCAGAGCAAGTAGCAATTTAAAGTATTTGAATTACTTTATGACTGATATATATGTTGCTGCTCTGTTTTGGAGTGTGGGTGTGGGTAATCTTTATGATGTGAGTGTTGTACCTCTTAGGGGATGCTTCTGTTCACAGGAGGGGTGACCACACAGATTGAAAGGAGGGATTTGAAGGTATCTCACTTACTATTTCTTTCCCTATGGGACCTACTGGCACTCCTATCTACTTAAGAGGCTTGAAAGATGGCCAAAGGCCTAAAGAAAACAGGTTCCCTTGAAGAAACTAAGTGGTAAAGGAAAAACAGATACTTACTGATTTGTACTGCACAAGGTACACTCATTGGGATAGGTCACTTGGTCAGTGCCACAGACGGGATCAAAATTTCTAGGGCATCCTGGTGTTTCATAAAGTTCACAGGCTGGCTGTAGAATAAAAGCTGTATAGTTCAGTATCTGGAACAGCAACAATCGTTTAAATTTATATTCCTCAAAGTTGGTGCAAGACATTTTGCTTACTTGAAACGCAGTTACAAAGGGTGCCACTCTCCCCAAGTCTAGCCTTAGTACCCATGAACAGTACCCGAGGCAAGAAAATCTTACAACCACCTTCCCCCTTTCTGGCAGTAAAAATCCAAGAACAATACATTTGCTCCTCTTTCATGACACCCAAAATCAACTGCCCGAGGCAATTGCCTCACGCTACCTAATGGTAGAGCCGATCCTAGTATTCTTTAATAGAGGATGATATTGAAGAACGAAGATACTGGAGAATGAAGGTTAAGTTGAGGAAGCAGAGTGAAGAATGGCATAGAAATTTAGACATTGGCGTGATAGCTACTGAAGCATTGTATGCTATGGCATTTGTTTCCCAGTAAAAGCTGCTGCCTTTTGCAGTTATCAATCCTAGTTTGTTTGGCAAGAGTTTCTATACTGCAGCCTTCCTCAACCTGTTACCGTCAAGATAATGTTGGACCTCAACTCTCATCAGCGCCAGCCAGCATGCTTAGTAAAATATCTGTGTAGCTAGTTTATAGCAGCAGTGGGGAATATTTTTCCACTCATAGGACCATATTCATTAATGGGGGGTGCATGCCAGGGGTGCGCAAGGCCAGAGGTAAAAGTGAGCAGGGCAATGGATGAGACTCTTGCAACTGTGCAGTTGACTAATTTCCAAATATGTGAATGATAAGGGTTCCTGGGCATAGTCTGGGGATGGGCCTAGAGTGAGTCCTGGGGGCCAGATATAAAGGCCTGGGGGCCACATCCAACCCCAGGTCTTAGGTTCCCCACTCCTAGTTTATTGGTAAGGAAATACACAGAGAAACATAGCTAGGTGATTTCAGTGCACTCCTCTCGAAGGCAACGACAGAAGGTTTGAGTTGCCTGAATTTCAGCTCACTACCCAGGGCAGCCATTTTGTGCTGGCATCCATGACTCTTTTATCAATGTATGTGTATGCACCTCATTTTCTACCCAAAAAAGGGGGGGAAGCACTGTCAGTACCTGACACATTGTATTGTTCTGACTTCTTTTATGTGACAATAGTGCATTTGCCATATATTGGTGGGGTAAATTTTCACCAAAGCAGGATGCACTGCACTTAAATAATCAAGACAACATTACCTCTCTTGCCTCACCATTGCCACCATCAGGTTCTGCATTGCCTAACAATGTGAGAAAAAACATTATTGATTAGAAATCCACTCTACTTCTAGCAGAGCCTGTAACCTCGGCTGGTTGTGTTATAGCTGCATCAAATCAGTCTAATTTTTTTAAACAACAACAACATTTAAATATTTAACAAAAATACATTCATTTGACAAGGGTGCATATTTCAAAGGTGGATCTAGGGGAACGTGACCTGTTCGGTCACACTGGGTGTGGAGCTTTGGGGGGAGCTGCAGCAGATGCCATGATATGAAGTCCAATGCAAAGCGAGAGGCAAGGGAGCAGATTTTGGCTTCACACAGGATGCCACTGAAATTTGAGATGTCAGGGTCTGCTGCTGCATATTTAGACCTTAAAAATAGAATGATCTTTAAATCTTGGATTTTTAAAAAAGAACATTTAATTTTGACTAATATAGATGTTTTGGTGAAGCAATTTCCTGTGATATAATGCATTTTTGTATGTTATTTTCACTAATGCACTTCCTTTAATGGAAACTGCCATAGTATATGAATTTTACACACACCTGGCTGGAGAACTGCAATACAAAATCTGGAGAAGATCTAATGCGTAGATCTGGTTCCTTTTTAGTTCTCATCAAAGTCACTCAAATACCTTTTCTCTCTGTTCTTTTTTCCCTCAGCCTCAAAATGAGACTCTATCCCATCATAGAGGTGCATGTTTTCCTATACTCTCCTTTGTCAGGAGCATATAGGAAATCGACTGAACAATTATACTGGGAATTTTAGCATCTGCAAGGAAAAAGACATGAATTCTATGTAGCCCTTACCTGAGGAACAGAAGATCCCCACTGCAAGGAGAAGGAATATGCTAGTTATTTTCATTGTAGAGCTGCTTATTGATGTTAAAAGAACAATCCTTTTGAAGAAGCTATGTCTCAAGATTCCAGAAGAAACATTTTTATATGACCTGTATGTGGCACCTCAGACTCCCCCTCCTCCTTGACGTCATTGTCCAAACAAGTGTGTGCTATGGGAAAGGTATTTTTGAAGGGAAAGAGGGTGGTGAAATAATAGCCAACACAGCACAAACCACATGAGATAATTTGTCCGGGTGGGTTCAAAGATCTGTGTTGTAACAGAACTAGATGCTAGAAATCATGAATGCCAGGACACTTTAAGGAGCATATTCATATACAAGCTGCCACTTTTGAATGCCACAATAAGTAATTCAGACTATTATCTGTTGACTCTGCTTCATATCTCTAGCCTTGCCATAAACACATGCTGTAAGATTGAAAGGAACTATATTTTACTGCTCTGTTTTATTGTCAACAGTTTATATGGCAGCTTTCTATTGACTCATCCAAGGCCATATTAAAACAGAAACAAATGACTAACAGCATTGGCAAGATTAAATATTAAAAGTTCTGATAACTGTGACAAGCCAAGGCGTTCTTTGGCATGTTTACTGTATTTTCATAGGCACAGAGAATGCTCTTCTCAGGGCCAGTACCACCATGAGACAACCACCTCAGGTGGCAGGTGCAAAAGGCACAAGGAGTGAGCAGAGCTGTGTGTGACATTTGGCCTTCTCTTTGGCCCCTAATTTAGCCTACTGCCCTCAGATGCAGTGGGAGGTGCTATCCCATTACCAGTGTTGAAGGAAGTGTTTCTCAAACCTGGGTCCTCAGCTGTTCTTGGACTACAACTCCCATCACCCCTAGCTAGCAGGACCAGGGGTTAGGGATGATGGGAGTTGTAGTGCATGAACAGCTGGGAACTCAAGTTTGAGAAACACTGATAGGCCCCATCTTCACAATACATTTAAAGCACTATTATAGTACTTTTCACAGTCACAGCTTCTCCCAAAGAATCCTGGGAACTGTAATTTGTTAAGCATTCTGCGAATTGTTAGGAAACACCTATTCCTCCCAGGGAGCTGCAATTCTCAAAGTGGTTTAGCAGTCAATTCCTCTTCCCTGGGAAGTCTGTGAGGGGAATAGGGGTCTCCTAATAACTTCCACACCCTTCCTTCACTTCCCAGGATTCCTTGAGGGACGCCATGACTATTTAAAGTAGACATAATAGTGCTTTAAATGTATGGTGCACATGAGATCTCAGTTTCAGCTACCAGCCTGGTGGATTTTGGAACATGGAGGGGGGTGCTGGGAAGGTGCCGTTTTGTCCTTTGCCTCAGGCAGCAGAAGATCTTGGGCTGTCTCTTTTCAAAGCTTCAAACATTACCACAGAGGAGTGTCTGGCTTGCAAAGGAACCATAGGGTGCCACTGATCTTTTGTTGCACTGTGTGAAGCAGCCTTTGTTATCATGTGGCATTCTTCCTTGATGGAGACAGCTTGGGATGCCACAAGAGAGCCAAGAGGGAAGCATACACCAAGAGGAAAATATTTTGCATTTTCCAAAGTATGACTTGAGCATACAAATGGAGAACACGTCCAAGGCTGCTAAGGACAGGAATGATTGAATGTGGTTGAACAAGTTTGAGAACAGCCAAGAAACATATCAAGCCAGCAAATGAAAAAGAATTGAGAAACAGAAGAAGAAACAGAAGGGTTGCAAGCCAACTGCTTTGCCAAGGCCAAATGATGCAGTCTAGATAAGAAGAGGGTCTTTGTGCTCCACTGGAAGACCCCCAAAGGAAGGGGCAAAATTCATTTCCCTAGGCAAGATTTCCAAAGCTAAACAGAAGAGAGAAAAAGACATCTCCCATTTTTCCAAACAAAGGTGGGGTTGGGACATTAAGTGGGCCTCTGCAAATGGTAATGTCAGGAAGACTTATATGGGAAGAACAGTCCTTCAGATATCCTTGTCATCACTGGCACTTTGAATTGGGCCCAGAAACATGTAGGGAGGAGATGTGGTTGTTGTAGCAGTGGAAGTGGCACGCTCCTGATACGAGCTCCATCTAAAGTTTCAGAACACTTTTCAAATACAGGACAATTGTAGTGAAGTAGTAGTTTCAATAAATAAACAAATCTATTGCTTTTTATAAGAAAAAGTATCAAAGCAGCTTATAACAAGTTAAGAACGCAAAGATATGGTAGAATAACCAGATAGTGGCTTAGGCATCTATCACCAGGGCTAGATGTACCTTCCCTAGAAACAGGCATAACTAGACCTAGACTAAGCTAGGCAAAGGAACTTCTCGCCATGGCTATCATCCAGGGTTAAAGTTGGGTCTAGGACCCTAGACCAGGGGTCAGCAGGGGGCACCTTTTTCAGCCATGGGCTGGTCCACCGTCCCTCAGACCATGTGGTGGGCCGGACTATATTTTGAAAAAAAATATGAACAAATTCCTATGCCCCACAAATAACCCAGAGATGCATTTTAAATAAAACAACACATTCTACTCATGTAAAAACACCAGGCAGGCCCCACAAATAACCCAGAGATGCATTTTAAATAAAAGCACACATTCTACTCATGTAAAAACACTCTGATTCCCGGACTGTCCGTGGACCATATTGAAAAGGAGATTGGGCCTCATCCGGCCCGCGGACCTTAGGTTGCCTACCCCTGCCCTAGAGTATGAACCTGTGCTTTCAAAGGGGTTGCTGAGTCACCCAGCACAGGCTAAACCACCTGTTTATAGACTGTGTATCCTCTGGAATAAGTTTCAGTTGATTAGCTCTTCTCCAGCTCCTTATTGACTCCATGCACTGGCTCAGAATGCCCACAGCTTCTCTAAACTAGATGGGAAAGAAATATAGACTTGGGTGTCATTCACCTATCAGTGATGGGGGAGAAAATGGATCCAGTGAACCTCTGAATTCACACTTTCTGAAACAAGCTTGTTTTCTCCTGCTCTAGAGGGTAGGACTCAAACCAATGGAACTGTACAGATCAATGCAGCAAGTGGTAGACCCTGGCAGCAGGTTCTGGAATTGCCCCTCCAAGAAACTCTGGAAGCAGCATTAAACAGTGCCACCAAGTCCCATCCTACCCAGGCAATGCAGACTCCTCCTTTCCAGTTTCTATAGTAGGTTATTACCTAGGGTTACCAAACCTATCTTTGTCACCAAGGATGAAGCCAGGCTGAAATGTATCCAGATGAGCTGAGGCTAGCCATCAAGAGGTAGCCAGAACTAGAGCCTCTACAAAATAGGGGTTTATGAAGTGTAATCTAGAGTGTGTCATGGTATAGAAAGGGCAGGCTAAAATTATTCACAAAGAGCAGGGGCAAATAGATCAAAAGCACACTGGGCCATTGTCAAAGGCATTTAACTGATTTTACAACATTCAATCTTTAACTAGTTGCTATCAGACACAAATCATGCATAGACATTTGTAACAAATGCTTAACCACAGAAGAACATAAGCAGATCCCAGCTGGATTGGGGCAAGGGCTCCTCATAGGCTGGTATCTGCTCTCCCTGTGGCCAACAAAATGCCTATGGGGCGCCCACAAGCAAGACAAGACCTCAGTCCAGCAGCCCTTGCAGAGGTATTTGGCTTTGTCAACATGGCAGAGATACCACCTGCACATTTCACAGTGCAAAATTTGGAACAGGTAAGATGTAGGCAGAAGGTGGGCAGCCTGTAATCCTGGTATAACTCGATTAGTTTATTAAAGTTTGGCAAGAGATAAATGTGTCGGTTTGCAGCAGCCACCTAATAATCAAACACCCTATACAAATATTTGCCACCAGGTGTCATGTTATCAGCGGCTTAGCATCTAGAAAGGCTTCGTTCCCTTCCCTTTTTATTTACTATGCACCTGTGAAGTCCCCGTGAGTCCAATATAAGTGCAAGACTTGACAATAACACTTTGTTCTTCCTTTGAGTCTCGCCTTTCCGCATTCCCACCTGTCTTGTAGCTCTACCAGCATTTTAATCAATTTGGTTTAACTACATGGAAAAAGACATGGCAGGCATTTGTCAAGGAAATATTACAACACTTTCATTGTTGCTGTTTTTAAAAAAACCTTTTAGGTGTGCACACAAGGCGGCCAGGTCAGGGAATTAGGATTGCCAATTAGGATAAATGTCAGATTGTAGGATCAGGTCCTGGCGTCTCCAGTTAAAAGGGTCTTAGGATACAGGGGTGGGACAGATCTGAGGCTTTGAAAGATGCTGTCGCTCACAGTGTAAATATCCCTATGCTAGATGGACTAGTGACTTGACTATAAGGTATAAAACATTATAAGATAGCTTTGTATGAAAGAATAAAGTGAGGATAGTAGAACACACTTATTCTGAAAATTATCGAACATAATGTTTCATATTCAAAAAGCCTTGCTTGAAAGTAATCCTATTGCTATTAATAATCATAATTATTTTCTTTTTAAAAGTTGGAAACTCCACTTTTGACTAGTTCTAAAACATTACTTGGCTAACAGTATATCTGTGCTGTCTCATCCATGCAACAGGATCATGTTGGTTGGCTAATCAGTTAATTAGCTTTCCTACAGCCCTTTGATTTCTCTCTCACGAATCCCTAGAGAAGTGGAGATCAAAGCGTTAACAACAGGTGCTTGGGAAGACAAGACAGTTATTCTTAATTAGCTAAGCACAGAGCCATAATTGCTAAATTCAATTAGTGAAAGTGTTTGCAGAAAGGGGGTGTGCTCTGAAGCACAAAACAGTGACTTAATTCTGCACTGAATTGTCACAGGGTTCAGCTTTCAGTGCTAAAATAATTGCTGTTCAGTGTTCACAGTTGCTGCTTCAATTCAATTCATTAAAAAAAAGTTTTCTTCCTCTTGGAACTAGTGAGGTCATCACCATGTCACCAGTTTGGTTTGACTGGGTAATGTCGTCACTGAATACAAATGAATGAGGTCATTGCCCACAAGATTGGATTGCTGTCATCACCTGATCCAAACATGATTGGTTGACAGCCTTTAGCAGTCAGCAGAGTGGGCGGAGCTGCATTAATATCCTAGCTTTCCAATGCCACATCTTGTTGCAAGGTGTGGAGAGGTGGAGGAGCAAGGTGGTGGGGAGCTTGGTCTGGTGGGTTCAGCATCAGATACCACTGTGCCCACACGGCACTGTGGTCTAAACCACTGAGCCTCTTGGGCTTGCTGATCAGATCAGCAGTTTGAATCCCTGCAATGGGGTGAGCTCCCGTTGCTTAGTCCCAGCACCTGCCAACCTAGCAGTTTGAATGCATGCCAGTGCAAGTAGATGAATAGGTACCACTGCGGTGGGAAGGTAAATGGTGTTTCCGTGGGCTCTGGTTTCTGTCACGGTGTTCCGTTGCACCAGAAGCGGTTTAGTCATGCTGGCCACATGACCCGGAAAACTGTCTGTGAACAAACGCTGGCTCCCTCGGCCTGAAAGTGAGATGAGAGCCACAGCCCCATAGTTGCCTTGGACTGGACTTAACTGTCCAGGGGTCCCTTATCTTTACCTTGCTTGTAGGATGGAGGAGGCTGTTTTAAAAATAAACAAATAAATGCCACCAAAGCAGGAGGTAATCGTGCTGCAAGCAGGTTTTAGAAAGGGCAGCGTTCCAAAGAAAGTGTGGTCATGGGGGGAGGAGAGAGCATACTGAACCTGGAAGGATGGTGGTGCATGGCAGTACCTGGGGCGGGGGGGGAACATGAATAAAACAAGGCAATATATTTCACTGGGTGTGTCTTTGTGCCCCACTTTTGCAGCCAAGAAGCCTATATTAAATAGGAGGTAGTGTGTCCAGCCTTAAGCACACAGTCATTTAAATAAATGACTATTTATGCATTTACATTGAGTGTTTACCAGCCAAATGAGATTACATGCCAATTTAGGAATGGAAGCATCATGTATTTACTGTACA